TTTGATTTGAGGTGTCATTTAAGGACTTTTACTTGTCTCTAAGAGTTACCAATATCTGTGGGGACATATTGCTGCCTATCTATGATAGGAATACAGACAGGCAGCTTTAGCAGGGCTTAACTCAGTTCTGTTAGCTTTCTTTTCCAGACAATATTAGATCTAAGATGCTTTCTGTGAAAATCATTTAATCAGAACCCATTTATCAAACCGAAAGCTCATGGAGTGAACCTAGTCTACCGAGGCAATGTATCTGGCTCTCAGGAGCCAAAATAAGCACATCATGCTAAGTAGAGGTATTATGTAATATATAGAGGAATTATGTTATATAAGTGTAAAAATTGGCTAAAACTGCAACCAAATGAGAGCAAGGATATTGTCCCAGAATAGTGAACTCTTTGTAAATAAAATGATGAAAACAAATGTTTCATTGATAATGCTGAAGGTACCTGATATAATTGAAGTTTTGCAGCCTAAATCTAGAACATTGAGGTGAGAAAACAACTAATGCTCTGAGATATTCTTTGGTCTATAACACCCCATTACATATCTGGATTCTGGTATGAACGCCTTGACATTCAGAGGTTCAAATATGCAACAGACCCTTTGTATTACAAGGTAGATTATGAGGTTTCTAAAATGATCTCATAGAAATCCATGCTGGATTTACTGGTGTCATTCTTCCTATTTTAGCTGCAGCTTTAAATTATTCTTCATTTTCTCAATTTATTCATGAGAATCCGTCCCGCTAAATCAGTTTAGACTCATCATTCAAAAGAACATTACTGTTGTAGTCCTGGTTTTTCTCTGTTTTATTTGAGGCAAACATTAGTCTGGCCTGTGTGTTGATCAACAAGGAAAGGATTGGAAAGATAAAATGTTAGCCAAAGCACCATGACTATGAGATAACAAATGTATGTCTAATTTTAAAGTTGACTTCTTCATTCTCTAGTTAATCACAGATAAGTGTTCAAAAATTCCAAAGCTATTCATTCTATACACTAACTGGTTTGCAACTTTTGTTGTGTGGTTACCCATTTGCCTTGAACACAGAACGAAAAACTGGGTTATTCTGATGTAATTAGCAAGGCTACACATGTTAAAAGAAACTGGCTGCCCTCTTTACTGATGTAGAACTCATGAGCAAAACACTGTAAAATATGACTTTTCCACTTAAAACTTATGCTAACAAACAGCTGATGCATGATGGCCTGGATGTTAACTGCTTATTTGGATACCATCAGTAGCCACAGCAGAAACTCTGCTCTCTCCTCATCTATCAAACAAGTTGGTTACTCAAAATGTTTTTGCTTGTTTGTCACAGGAAAAGTGTTTTTCTAATATGAAAAACACTTTTAAATGACCTGTTCATGTCTTTAAACTATAGAATAATATATAAAAGCCTTTTGATTTTGGTGTTTGTTTATTTTTACTTAAAAAAATAAAGAGAAAAAATAAAAACATGTTTTTCTTTGTAATTTGCTTGAATGCTTTGCAGCTTTAAGGTATTTGGTCTAATTTTCTAAAGTAAAGGTTTCAAAGGTTTTTGTTTATTCTACATTAAAAAAAATCCTAAAACAAGTATTTATAAAGAAACTTTTTAAACTGAATATATTCACAGTGGTTCATTAGAGTACTATTTTATAAACCTCTACTCCACTCTTGCTTTTGCATTAATGGTCATTCAAATAGAGTAGTGTGGTTATTAACTCTGGAGGCAAAGTTGGTCTTGGAAATGAGATGGGGAATAAAATTTCTAGATGCAAAGTAATACTACGGATAACAGAGCCATAAACTTAGAAAAAACCTTGTCTGTGTGTTATTCTCTAGGTATTATATATGTATATATATATATATATGTATATGTGTGTATGTATATATATATATATATATATATATAGTATAAGGATATGATAGAAAGCTTTACTCATCATGCTTAAATAAGTGCAGCTGAAACAGCTCATCCATGACTCATTTTCATTCATTGCCAACCACATGTTTTTCCACACAACGTGGCAGTGATTGGTCACTATAGCCACCGACTAAAACTGACCATATTTTTAAACTTAAAGCAAAGGTTTCATAACCTAAAAAACAGTGGGACAGAAAGGATAGTGAGTTACATTTTTTGGCTGTTTATTTTGTCGAACCCCCAATTCATTCAATCATGCAACCTGTTGGCATCACAGGTCTGAACTAAATCTCCCCTTATTTACTTCTCCTATGAACTTACACACTAACACAGTTTTTTTTCTTCCCATTCTGTAATTATAATAATAAAAAAATCAATTCAGATGAGAGGCAGAGAAGACAAGGATGAAACTTGTAAGTGTGGATGAAAATTTAAGGCCTAATGTCATCTTTCCTAGAAATCAGCTTATCGGAAACAAAGTCCCTGTAAAATAGAACAAGTGGAAAGAGCAGAGATGCACTGCTTCTGCACAGAGCGGCCTTGTTGGTTCTCTATACAGAAACATGCAAAGTAATTCCATTGTAGTTCACATGTAATGACAAGAAGTCTGCTTTGCTATGCAAAATCATGTCACCACCTCTGCTTTATAGGGTGTGGTCAGTGTTTGGTTTCATGAACAACAACCCTTTGTGGTTTTCACCCTTCATCTCTCACACTGAAAGAAAAAAAAGGAAAAATTATTGCTGCATATACTTTTAAAGCCTTACCTCAAAATTATGTCCTTAAAACAGACCAGCAATTAGCTTATATATAGGTACTCCACAATCACCAGCAAAGGAGAGCAAAATAAACCCTTTGGGAAATGATTGTTTACTAAAATCATCTGGCTTTTGTTTAAGAGCTTTGGCCTGTAATTACAGGGAAGATCAAAGCCTGATTTTTTAGGGATATGGGCTTATTTTGATGCAACGCAAGTGATGATAAAACCCGCAGAAACACACATTACTTATCTAAATTCAACCATTTTTAGTTTACATTAATTCAGGTGGCATACATTTAAACTGTATATGATTCTTTATTCTTGTTTTTAGTGCAGAGGTAAGTGGCTTATCTGAGAACTTTCATTTTGTTTGGATTTATACTTATACATATGCATATATATATATATATAGATATATATATAGATGTTTGTATGTCTCGAGCGTGTAACAAAGGTAATTTCCCTCTAGGATTTTTAAAGTATGTCTGATTCTGATTCTGATTAAAGGACTCTCCTTGCTGCTAGCCTATTCTTTAGATTTGATTGACCTCTCACATCTCTGGAAAGGGTCTTTTTTTAATCCTTAAACCTATAGTGAGATGCATTTTTAACCTCACAGCACTGAGCTTTTGAATACTCTAGCTTAAGACCCGAAAACAGCTGAGGGTTTGGATGTTTTAAAATAAATTAAAGCTATCTCATTATTCCTGTCTGACTTTTAGCAGAAGTTTTTAGATATTTATTTCTTTGTCTGGGTTTATTATAACACATTTATTGACACTATTTATAGCTTTGGCAAGTAAGATAATAATGCTATTTTAATCTTTTATAGATTTCATCATAACCATGCTGATCTTTGTATAACATTTTCTGGTTTAAAGGAATTTAGTGTGTCTATAGATGTTTCTTCTTTAGATATACAGATTCATTTCCAGTTACTTAACTTGTCAGGCTCAGAACAGAAGGATCCCGTTTTCAAAGCAGACAAACAGATTTCTCAAAAGGTTTATTGAAAACTGAATCAAAGTGAGCAGCGTCTGCGTCTAAGGCAGGAACCTCTACAGGTGGAGACAGCAGGTTACTGACCACGTGTTTCTGGAAGTGGATGATGACGAACATGTGAGTCACTTACCTGGTCTTAGAGTTCATTCCGAGCCCAGAGGGTGAGGATGGTTTTCAGTGGGCTACCTACAAACGCGGTGCGGCGGTCGGAAAAGAATAGAAAGTAGCATCAAATCTCAAAGTGTTCAAATGTATTACCATGTTTTCTATTTTTTCTGGACGTGTGCACACTTTTGAAAACCACTTCACCAGAGCTTCCCTGCTAAGCTTTTTTTTTGACAAAAGAGTAATAATATAAATAAATCAGCATATTCAGAGGTGGGTAGAGTACCGAAGAAATGTACTCAAGTAAGAGTAGCAGAACTTCAAAACTGTTTTACTCCAATAGAAAAAGTATTCACTCAAGAAATTACTCAAGTAAAAGTAAAAAAGTATTTAGTGAAAAGGCTTGAGTACTGATTAATTGTTGGATTAAAAGATCTGATTTGATGTTTAGAAATTATGAAGACAAACAGACCTGATGTGAAGTTCTAGTATTTTAAAGACTCAAATGCATAAAAAATAAAAATAAATATAATAAATATAGAAGGACAAATTCATACATTTGAAATACTTTTACAATTTTTTTTTGTTACACATAAACAAATCCTTACAGTGAGAACTCTATATATTTTAGGACAGGCTAGAGAACTCCCATTGATAATTTCTACTGTTTACCGTATGTTTATATGATCCTGGACTAGTTCAAATTACTCACAGAGGACAGAGTAGTCAAAGATTTTACTCATAGTGATGCTTTACAAGAATATTACTCAAGTAAAAGTAACAAGTACGGCAAATTAAACTACTCCTAAAAGTATATATTTTTATATATTTTATATTTTATATATATATATATTACATATTTTTTTAACTCGTTACTACCCACCTCTGAGTACATTGTTTTGCGACAAAGAAAGATTTTTGCTCTGTAGCAAACCTGTTTTCCAGCATTAAGTTTAAAGAACTCAGTATTGTATAACCAGTGGCCTTTTTTATTTATTGAATGGTAATGAGCTTTGAAAATTCTATAAACATAATCCAACTACAGAGTATTTTTCTAGAACTAACTTAACATTATAATCTAAATGGGACATGCTAATGTCAATGCTGCAGTACATACAAACAGTTTTTGATAGGATGTTAATGTGGGGATAAAATGTGGGTAGTGGTTGTGTAGTTGTGTACTGCATATTAATGATTGATAAGTCAGAGCATGAAAATACTTGCTTCAGGTTACATTAATGACAGAATTTAATTGGATTAAAAATTGAATTCAGACAGTTTAAAAATCAGAAGAGACAAGAGAAATATCTAAAATAATACATGATCTTCAGATGGGCTTTTTTTATGCTGAATTACTTTGGTTTCAGATTTCCAGTTTTTTCCTCATGGAAAGCTTGTAGAGGATCTGGTAGCCATCATCCCAGGCGTAGAGTAGCTGCTCCTGGGGATTATACTTCAAACTGGCGTGAAAACCATAGCGCTTTGGAAAGTAAACTAAAGGTGCCTCTTCATTTGTCACCAGGTCATTCACGTCAAACACGCACTGCACTCGTGAGCGTCCGGGCTGCTTGGTGTTATAAACCACATACAGGGTGCCACAGATGACGAAGGCCGTCTCTGCATTTTCTCTCGGGCAGTTTGTGTCCCACATTTGCTCGATGTCCAGGGTGTTGCTATCAATCTTAGCCAGAGAGATGTGTCTCTCATTCTGCTTTGTGGCATAGATAGCCCATAGGCCTTCCTCATCCACAGCCAGGTCCATCACTGTCTCAGGGTTCAGGCTATAGACAGGAACATGATCCTGTATTGGAAACACCGCGCTGTCTGTCATAGACTTTTTTATTGTGTCAAATTTGACCACAGTTATCTCCTCATCCTGATTTACATAATACACATGGTTGTTGTAGACCACATGTCCAGTCCCCTTCCAGGAAGAGGGAATCTTCAGGTCAGTGGACAAAGAGAAGCCTATGGAGCGGGCGAGGTCCTGAACAGAGGCAAACTCATTGATGGTGTCCTCAGCTGTCCCGTTGAAAATGTAGACCTTCCCAGAGGCTCCACTTGTGTCTTTGGTCCACATCCCCTTTGGCCCCCCCACTCGCTTCAGGATCTTCATGGCTTTTATGCTGGATATCATATCACTGCAGTCTGTAAAAGAAAAACAATGCTTTGCATATTTAGTGAGCAGTGAATTTTCAAAGTAGTTTACATTCATATCACCCTAAAGATTAGGTTACAATGGTAGTCTTAGTGTCCTTCTCGTTTTTTCATTTGCTTCGAAGCCCAAAAGTGACTATAAACCAAAGAGCTCTATTAGGGGGGAGTTCTGGTGCCTACACCAATGTTTATATGCTGGACAGTTTACCAGTTCCTTACAGGAATAACAGCCAGGTATTTTTTTTGGACTTTGGGAGGAACTTCTAATATTCACAAAGACCAAGCAGACTTCATGCACACAGACCATCTCCTGGATTCAAATCCACCCCTGTCTTGCTGTTAAGAAATAACAATCATGTAAAACACAATGTAGCTCATACCCACCAACTGGAAATATCCATTTCCCAAAGACATCAAGGCTATCCTATACAGAGGATAATTTAACCTGCTGTAAGGCAACCATGTCAGTGGTACTAACATCCACCACTGGAGCACCACAAGGGTGTGTACTTAGCCCTTTTTTCCCCACACAAATGTATTTGTCCTTTATCAACCACCGTGTTCCTCCACTTACCCAGTCGCTATTTCACTGTTGACAGATGACACACATTTTCTCAGCTACAAACAGCTTTGTATTAAATATAGCAATATCTGTTTAATGTCACCATATAATAATCCCTCCCTCATTAAAATGGACAACTATGCTGTAAAATTAGTGGAGATCTTAAACCTCTTAGAGTAGGAAGGATAGAAAGCTCATCTTGAACTCACATACCACCAGCTTTGTAAAGAGAAGCCAGTAGAGAGTTTCTGCCATGCATACGCTCTAGGGACCATAAGCAATCACCTGTACCTAAAACATCATCAAGCCAAACATTTTTTATAATGCAATCTATTCTTCAGATTATTTTGTGCATGTTATTTCAGAAAAGATGATCTGCTATACTTGCCCCCATGGCCACAGAGACTTTAGGAACTTGCGTTGCACCATTTTTAATTTTAATTTTAATTTTTTCTATTACTGTTTCAACAATCTTATTTCTATCAAATCCCACCAGCGTGTCATTAATTTGTTTGTTTATTCATTCGAGTCACATCAAATATTTGAGTCAGATTTTTCTGGTTAAGTATTTAAAAGATCAATTTTATTGTCCTTCTATAAGATAAGACTATATATTTTTTTAAATCACCATAAGCGATCACTAGCCGTCGCTCTGTTTCAAAGATTTTCCCTTTATGACAATTGGTTTTTGAACAGTGCCGATTGGATCCTTCTTCTGCATCCCTGTGTCGTTAACTCTCACACCTGTTGCCAAGAAAACATGGGAATCATCATGGCAACCAGGCACTAACAGAAGCTTAGGGGTACGTTTCAAAATAAAATTCATGCGTTTTCAAAGGCCCAGATTCATTAAAATGGTTAAACCAAATCTAAAAAATTTTTTATTAAATTTGAAAAAAAAAAAACAAATGCATGTGATTTTATGTGATTTTGTTTAAAGATACTCTTTAAAATAAGCCCTCAATGTTTCCATTGATGAGAATATTCAGTAGTTCCCACATAACTTTACTTTCAGTAGTATTTTTAATATTTTGAAATAGTGGCTTCATTTATTTCACTGACAAATTAGATCCTAGTTAAATAAATGCATTTTGTTTTAAGTCACATTTTTCTTTTGTTGGTTTTAGATTTAATTGATACACAAAGAAGTGGTCAGATTTATCTGAACTGAATAAAACTGAACAGCTATTTTTCCCCCTGCATCACATGAAGTTTAATTAACCAACAGCTCATCTCACCTGTGAGTTTCAGATACTTGGCCTTCTGCTTCTCCTTCACCAGGGTGACCTGCTGCTCTATCAGCCTGTCGTCCACGTCCACGCACGGCTGAGCCCCGTTCTGTGTTTCCAGGTAGTCCAGTTCACGTTCCACCCGGTCCACCCTGGTCCCCACTCCATCCAGATTTATCCTCAAAGTTTCCTTCTCTTTATCCAGACTCTCCAGCTGAGAAACCATTTGGAGCTTCAGCTCCCGAAGCTCAGAGGCATAGCGTGTGGTCTGCTCTTGCCACAGAGAGATCCTGTCCTGTTTTAAACAAAGCTGATTAAGCCCAATTGAGTCTCAACCACAACTTCACAAGATGTTTATTTTATGCTGTAACTAAAAAGAAGTTTCTAGACTTAACTCATGCCCCCAGGCCTTTCATCAGGATGGTTTAGCCCACATGTGGCAAGCATCCACCCTGCATAAATGTCTTTCAGGAAAACGGTCTGAGATCGCTTTGCTACTGGTCATTTGTTGTTTATTTTATAAGCAATCTTTGTTGATGACTAATTAGTTATATGGGCTGGAACACAGTGAAAAATAATGAGTTAAAACTGAATTGCTGTTAGAGAGCTCAACAGAAGTTGAAGAATTAAACATTTCATTTTTAAGTTCTCCAGTTTTTGGTTTTGTGGAATGTTTTTCCACATTTCAACTTTTTTTTTTCCATGTTGGGACTGACTGGCTAGCTCCTATAAAAATTGTATTTACACTGGAAAATTCATATTGGTTTGATGGAGTGTGTGTGATAATTATCAGGGAGTATTTTACATCAATGTCGATTAATTTTGACATACTTTTAAGAATAGTTTTACTTTAGCCACATTAGAGGGCAAACACAACTTGTTAAGAGTCATATGCAGCCATGTTTATCAGATTCAATCTCTGACATTTTTCCATTTTGAAATAGTAGACATGAACTTGACAGCGTGACTTATGTTAACGTAACCTAATTGACCCTGAGTAAGGGTCAAAAACTGAACCTTAGAAATTCTCATTTTGATGTTCTAGCATACCCATAACACCTCTCCTCCAGCAGAATGTTTTTGTTTAACATTTTATTGTCATTTCCCTAATCTGTTTACAAATAGAGCATGCATGAATAATCCATAATAAACATTTTATTTTTTTTTAAATGAATAGAAAAACTCTTGCTTGGGAGCGTTTCTTCCTAAAGTCTGTTTTTCTTATCAAGTTTGTCAAGCTCTCGTTTTATTTTAAGTCACGGCTTCTCTTCCATTTTCTTACTGTTGACTCAGCCGATATAATGTCAGATTGAGTGGAGTTTTTTTGAGGACCCAAATGGAGAGACTGAAGCAGAAGTGAGTTCTTGCAGGTTTAATAATCCAAAGGGCACAGAAGCAAAAGTGCACAAAAAAAAAAATACTGAAACTCAAAGAGAAAACTAAAACAGAACCATAACCAAGATTTATATCAATTCATCCATTATGTAGATTTCTTCTATTATCCCAGTCCATGGCAAGGAGTCCACCTTTCCCCATTTCGTCATCATAGCTTTCTCTCTTGCTGTTAACATTATCGTGATCTGACACCTGTCCCTTACTCTGATCTTTTATTTGATATCATTAAAAATGCAAAGATGAAGTACCACGCTGCTCATAGGAATATCCCACTACTTAATTATATTTAAGGACAGTTCCAGAAAATGTCTAGTCTGTACCATTATACCTCTTCTTGGCACCATCACCATGTTTGAATGTAGTTGTGATGTTTCATTTCCAAAAAGTGTTTGTTTTACAGCCAACAAATAACTTCTTAAATTAAATATTTAGCTTTCTGAGTCAACGGGTTACGTTTCTAAGTTTTAGGAATAACAGGTTTATTTTGGGGAAAGCTGAGAAAGGCCCTTGCTTTGTTTGATCATCAATGGATTTTACCAGGTCACTCCATAATGGATCGACTTCCTCTGGAGTCTTTTTTTGTTTAAGATTAATGAATTCAACAGACATGAAGGAAAGTAAAGCCTGCAGAGGTTAAAATGGGGATCTGAGTTGTATTCGGGACCTTCTGAGTGAGTCAGAAATGCACTTTTATAGTAATTTTAATATGCTGAAAACTCTTGCAAAGGTTTTACCACTTTTCCTCTCTCATGTCAGCTTGCCTGGAATGACCCATGACAGACTTTAAGACATCAGTAATTTTATCACTCAGCCTAAATTTCTATAAATTGTGGCTGGTTGTTCTGCCTTTCGAGATTATTTAGCCTACTTCTTGTTAATTAGATCAGTGATTTCTTGAGTCAAATAGAATAGATTACAAATAGAATCAGTATCAATTATTTGTATATTCAGTCTACCCTTTGATTTGTTTTAAGTTCTAAAAAATAAAAATATGACCAAATCTAATTAGTTTTTCACTAAACTGAAACCTGCACACATTGAGCTTTAATTAGAATATTATCCCTAAAAATAAATGCTTTTTTATAATGTGATTTCTGGAAACTTTCTTAGTTTGACATCATACTGCAAACATCTATAGTCAAGTTTAAGAGCTGCAGACTCAGAGGAAAAGTTTGTGCTGTCTCAACAGTGTGACAGATTTGAATTGCCTAGGATTTTCCCCAGGATTTTTCCACTGCATTCCACCTAATCGGTTCCTGAAAATTTCCTCTGTGGGGAAACTCGTGGGGATCAGCAAGAAGATCAAAAAGTCTTACCTCAATAGCAAGGAGCCTCCTTTCCAAGTAGTCAATAAGAGCTTGGTGCTGAGCGGCAGCAATGTAGACCAAAGTAAGAATGAACACAAGTTGTCTCATTTTGTTGGAGCTCAGGCACCTCTTAGGTCACAGTTAAAACCTGACCAGATGTCGGCGAGTGAGCGAAGGAGCCAGCAGACTCCCAGAGGTGGACTGGAATGTCTGGGAGGAGCCACAGCCATCTGGTGGAGGCCAGGGACAATACTTTTTACTGTACATCCTTTTACAGTTTGATGATGTTAGAGGTAAAACAACAAGGAAGCATTTTGGTTGAACTCTGTTGGACTTTAATTTTCTTTAAAACATCAGGTTTTAATAAGGCAGAATTTACATAGAAGGAAGAACCAGAAAATGAGATCAGTGAAACGACAAAGGAGGACACCACTGCTGAAAACAAATCCTAAAAAAGCCAAACTGGAATTCATCAAACTACATGTTGACAAGCCATAAAGGAGAATGTCCCGTGGACAGATGAGAAAATTGTCCCTACATCAAAACATGGAGGAGGCTGTTATGTTCAAGGGCTGCTTTGCTTCATCTGGCACAGGGTGTCTGATTCTCTGCAGGGTTCAATGAAATCTCAATACTTAAAGCATTCTAGAGAGAAATGTGCTTCCCAGTGTTAGAAAGCTTTGTCTAACTCACAGGTCATGGGTCTTAAACAGGATAATCACTTAAAACACACAGCTAGAAACACCCAAGAATGGCTGAGAAGAAAACATTCTCTGAAGTGGTCCTCTGTGAGCCCTGAGCTAAATCCTATTGAGCATCTTTGGAAGGAGCTGAAAGATGCCGTCTGGAAGAGGGAGCCTTCATATCTGAGACATCTGGAGCAGTGGACCAAAATACCTGCACTGAGGAGCAGATGTCTCATTAATAGTGAGGGGAATCATTTGATTGCAATGATTGCCTCAAAAAGTTGTGGAACCAAATACCAATTTAAGGCACCATCCTTTTTGTCCAAGCCGTTTCATTAGATTCTTTAAAATAATTCTGTCGAAGTTTGGTTAAAAAGCAACGTCTTCACTATTATTATTAATTACTATTATTACAAATCTATCTAAATAGTCTTGATTCTTGATGAAATGAGGGTAGGACATTCATGACCTTTCCATTTTGAGATAAAAACATTCATTTGCATTCAGTGGTACTCGAGTAAAACACTTTTCCAGTTTACGTTGGTGAGAAATGTCAGCAAACAAACTGTTATCTGGTATAATTAGGGACCACTTTGTTGCTCAACTTCCCAAAAAAACAAAAATAATTAAAGTTTAAAATTCAAATGTGACTAAACAACTCAAGGGTTGTTACTACTTTTTCATGGCATTAACAATTATAATAGCACAAGCCTGTCAATTTCATAACCATCCTTAAAATCTTGACCCCAACAAAGTGAATTAACTGACTGTCCAACAAAAACCAGCAGTTATCTAAACAAGTTTATTTAGTCCAACTGTATATAAACATTATACATAAAAATTGTGCATTAAATTTGGGTAAAATCTAAAGTATGAACAATGCAATAACAAGTTAAACTCTGTAAAATGACGATGGACTACTATAAATCACATTACTATCAAACAAAGGTGCCGTTTTAAAACCACCTCAAGATCATTTGCAGTGAAACAAAAGTCAAGCAGGAGGAAATCAATTAATCTGATGTTCTTTTAGTGGCTGGTTGTACTGAGAGCCATCACTCTGTTCAGTAGTACCTCAAGCTTTCCAAGAGCTGGTGATTTTATTAGCACAGTCCCTCCAATTTATCAATTTGACTAATTAACAAACTACTTGAACATCAGAAACAATATTAAACATTTAAATCTGGAAGTTCTTTTCCAGTTATTGTTCTGAGCTGAACATCACAGATTTAAATCATTAATGATAGATCAAATGTGGCAGCTGTACATAAATACACCAAATAAAATTAGAAATAACAGTTTAACACTTGAAACAAAAGCTGCAGAACGTACAGCTACTTAAAAGCTGTTTTTAGATAGTGAGGGACCCTTCGGCTCCTGTAGTGTCCAGGTTTTCTGTCCGTTCCAGCCACAGGACTGCAGTACGTCCTTATTGCTTAGATGTTACTCTGGTCTGAACCGGCCTGATGATTTAAACAACTCAGAGTCTCAGGTGAGGAACTGGCATGGAAACGTCCCGGAAGAACCGATGTACAAGTGCATTTTTGGCAGAAATCCGTTTGTTTGGGTCATAATTCAGCATTTCCTAAAAAAGATAAACAAAAAAACATCACAATTAAAACACAGTCACACACATTACAATTCTTTCTTGGTGTAACATCTTTCGGTTGCTTTTTAAATAAATCAATTTAATTTGTTCTCACTGCCAGCAGCTCTCTCCCGTCCTCCTCCAGAAGAGGAACTACTTTGGCTAAATCCTGCCGAGCCCACTTGGGGAAGGACGGTTTGTAGTCGGGCATTGATGTGACTCCCGGCCAAACGTTTTCATCAGGTGTCCCCAAGGTGCGGAAGATCCTGAATAACTGATCTATCTCAGAGTCGCCGGGGAACAGGGCCCTCCTGGTGACCTGTGAACACAGCGCTGCTTACAGACCACTCTTGTTTCACTTGACAAAAAAAAAAACATTCAGGTTGTTTTACCATTTCGGCAAAGATGCACCCCAGACTCCAAATGTCAACGGCAGTGGAGTAGAATTTACAACCCAGGAGGATTTCTGGTGCCCTGTACCAAAGAGTGACCACCTGGAAAACACAATATCTTCCAGTATGAAAACAGTCAGAAATGTAGCAACTAAAATAAAGGATATTTTCTAATCAAAATGTATTGGATAGATTCTTTTATTCTGATATCCTTTCATCTTCAGCCTTCCTATAGCTGACAGGCATTAATTATATTAGGAAAAGCACAAATGCGTGAGAAAGTATTCGCTTTACAATCAGACTTTTTTTTATGTAACACAAAACATTTAGAGTTAATTTTTTTAACTGTCTTAGCATTGAAGCAGCATTAATAGAGTGAGCATTGCTAACACAGCATCATCCATAATGCATCCCCAAAGAGACGGTATCCTTGTCCTAACTCAGAGATTTATGCAAAGACTGCAGACATTTCTGAATCTAGAAGCCACAGGTTAAAGGGATGATGTATTCGTTTAGCCTTCCTGTTTGCTGCTGAAGGTCTCACTCTATCTTGCAAACAGTGAACGGCAGATATGACTCAACATGCCATAGAAAACCGAAAGCAACTTCTTAAATCTTTGTACTTCCTTGATTTCAATTGTTAACAGTCAACTGATACAGGAACCATCTAACTGCAAGCCCCTTTCGCTCAATCACAGTGTTTACACTGAAGAGGGTTGCTGTGAGCATGACCTGGTAGGAGGGAGAAACCAATCAAATTTCTGAGTTCCCTCTGAGTAAACAAACAAGTTCTGGAGTAAATCCAGAAATGTGTAAAGAAATGAAAAGGTTCTTTTGATAAAGCCTTTGGATCAACATGAAACAATTAAAAGTATATTAATTAAACTACCCCGGCTAAACGTCATCATGGCAGATGATCCAGGAGAAATGTGAAGTTTAATCAGAAGCTGGACACAGAGTAAAGACCAGACCATACAACCATCTTACCTCGTGTGTGTAAGTGCGTACAGGTACTCCGAAGGCGCGTGCAAGGCCGAAGTCGGCCAGCTTGATCTCTCCTTGAGCGTTGATGAGGAGGTTCTGGGGCTTCAGGTCTCGATGGAGAACTCTGTGCGAGTGGCAGAAGGCTAGGCCTTGCAGCAGCTGGAAAAGGTAACTCTGTAACACAGAGAGAAACATCAGGAACAAACACAAAACCAGAGAAATAGGAGCTTGAATCTGCACAAATGTATTCATATCAGGGACACTATTATGGCAGGGCTTTTCAAATTGTCAGAACGTTAACTCCTCTTAACCAACCAATATACCCCAACAAAATGATTATTTGTGTCAACCTTTATTTAATTTTTTTATTACTTAAGTGTTCTATTCACTCTCATCCATTTTACACATTTTAAACAGTTTTTTGCTCCTTTGAACAGTTTCTTTTTCACTCCCAGCCATCTTCTTGGAACACTCAGCTATAAATATCACATTTTCTACGTAATCACATATGAACAGTATGAAAGGGGATTTCAGAAGGGAGCATTCAATGTATTTCATATCATTAGAGCTTAATTTATTTAATTTTTGAAGTTTCTAAAGCTTCAATTTAATAAAGGTGAATAACAGTCCTCTTCCTCTGTCAGCCTACCTGCTTGAATTTAATGTTTTTGTTCTCTAAGTTTGAATAAGTGTTTATAGAGATAACGAAATCCATCAACATACTCTCACTTCCATGTGTGTTCCACATGCACTCATAATCAAATTAATTTAATGAAGTGTGGCTGTGACACAAAGCCTTCACTTTTGTTTTGTTGGTAGAAACATGGGAAATGTGAGAGGTAATTAAGATTTGCGACAATCTGTCTTTACCAGTTATAACTCAATCTTTTCTTTTTTAACTTAATTTCTTGGTTCAGTCTGCCAAACAAGTGTTTTTCATGATGCACATAGATAAGCAACACATTGTTACAGCTAGAATTAAAAGTATATCCTTCATATTTGACCAGCTTCTTTAATTTTAGTCAACATCAGATGGCATTTGGCGAAGTGTGTTCCATCACCAGCGTGCACATATCTACCGGTGTGCTTTTATCTGCATAGCCCTGGTGTCACATGAGTCTGTCTCCCCTCGTGTTTTGATCATTAACAGAGGAAAAGATGTTATGAAGACATGATTACCTTCACCAAAGGCAGTGGGATGCCAGTGACTGAGGAGGAGTCCATGAACTTTTTCAGATCCTGATGAAGAAACTCAAAAACCAGATAAAGTTTGTTCTCGGTGTGGATGACATCTCTCAGCCTAAAAGAGCAAAATAAAAAGGTTGGATCTAAAACCTGAGAAGGAAGACAGTAGAATCAAAGGTAACGTTCTGCTAACATCCTATAAACTTACTTGACAATATTTGGGTGACTGAGTTCTTTAAGAAGAGAAATTTCTCGAATGGCTGTGCTGGGAACGCCCTCTGTTTCCCTGGGAACAATATAAAGCCGTTACGTTATGCTCTTAAGTCAGTTACAGATGGTTCAAATGTTTTACCTCAATGTCA